TTATAATCCTCTCATTTCCTCTTCCTTATCACTATTTCTTGTGGATCCATTGGTCTCATGCTAGTCAAAATTTCATAAAGTTAATCATCAAATTATGTGGCCTGTCCTTGGGTATGAAGGGCCCTTACGATGCCTGATGGGAAGATGTTGTCACCCTTCTGACTTGGGTTGTTTGTTTTCCATGGCATACTATGAAGGCAGGGTGTGGGGGCAAGGTAGAACGGCAAACGTTCTGTCTCTTGGGACAAAATCATGTTATGGCATGTTTGCTGCCTAAATGTGAGGGTGGCAAGGACACCAAGGTCCTGAAGAACCAGAGACCTATGTCTGGGGTTGGAGGAGCAGCCTGCGGAAAGCTCCTCAGGGAGCTCTGCTCTGATTTCCTCTGCTTCTTCTGCAGAAAGAAAGGAAGGAGCCAGCCATGTGGGAGGTATGTGTGCATTTGGAGAAGGGGACAGGGGACCATTTGTTGCTTTACCTTTGGATCCTTTAATCCCAGCACCATGCTCCTTACTGTGGAAGAGAGGGATTGGACTGTCTGTAATAGAGTCGTCTTAAATTTATCCAGTCTTGTACAAGGATTCCATTCAATTGAAGGTTGTTAAGATTTTACTCCAGAGACATGTAAATTATTCCAACTCATAAAAACAGGGGTAGGTGAGTATGAGGGATATATCTCTCATCTCTTTGTCTGATTTCCCAAGCCCTGAAGTCCTAGATTTAGAGAATTTCCTGTAGACTTTTATCATCTTGCCTTTTCCCTTTTCCCTCCAAACCCTGTTTGTGTCTTTATGACTTTGTTTAATCCTTCCTCACAAGTTCTTGGGTTCTTATGCTTGACCTCCTGCCTACCTAGGCTGCTGGATTTGGTGGTAGGCAGGAAGGAGCAGGAGGCCATTCTCCAGACTGACGTCAGGGTACATTATATCTAAAAGCCAGCCAGACCATTAACCTTACGAGTGTCCTGTTGGCTCCTGTGGGCCTGTTTCCCATAGGAATTAGGAATGCCTGAGCAGCCCAGCTTTGCATTATATGACAAAAGCCTTCTAAAATGCACATCTTGGAAGGGGGTAGGGAGAGTTGGATCAGGGAGAAAAGCCCAACTGATCATACTCCATTCTATATTAGCAGTATTAGTTGCATTTTCAAGGGCCAAGAAACAGCACTGTGCGTGCACGCACGAACAGCTCCTTGACACATACAAGAGTGTCAAGAGGGGGCACCTGGGTGGCTCAGTGGGTTAAAGCCTCTGCCTTCGGCTCAGGTCATGGTCCTAGTGTCCTGGGATTGAGCCCCACATCGGGCTCTGTGCTCTGCAGGGAGCCTGCTTCCACCTCTCTCTATCTGTCTGCTTCTCTGCCTACTTGTGATCTCTGTCTGTCAAATAAATAAATAAAATCTTAAAAAAAAAAAAAAAGAGTGTCAAGAGTAAGAATAACTACTCTAAAGAGTACTCTCATGAGAGTAAGGAGACTAGAGTAAAGTTGGCTTATGCTGTTCTCACCATACCTCTGTAGCACATTATCAGTGATCCAGAGAAAACAGATTTTTCTCTGTGGTAGGTGGAAGCTGATGGTAAATAAATAGTGGAGAAACAGGTAAGTCCAGTCTTAACTTTGCTTCAGCTCCGCTTGCTGACACCCAGAGAAGCCGTAGGATGTGGTGGTGTCACCAGGAGCCCAAGTCTCTCCTTGTCTCTTCTGTTAGTGTGGACCTGGCTGGTGAGGGACACTTGTCTGCATCGCTGAGCCTGTTTCTAAGTATCTTTGTTTGCTTACTTGCCCCTTGTCTTCTCTCTTTGTAGACTTCACCTTTTCTGCTCATTCTCTCTTTGATCCCTTCTTCTTGCTCTGTCTCTACTTTTCTGCTTACTCACCCTTCTACCCACCTGGAAAGATGAATTACATTTCATTAACCTTTCCAAAGCCTAAAGGTGACCACAGGCTTTGTTGCCCATTGAGCTAACTCTGTTAGGATCCACTGAGTTGAAGTCACAGATCGCTTCTGGGATTGGCTTTCTCCAGGCACCCTTTGAAGGTATCTGTACTTGCCTTTTGTTTAGTATCAGAGGAGTCCAACTTCGCGAACGATTAAAAAGAAACATTCAAAAATAGAATAAAGAAGAAAACTCCCTTAATTCCACCATGGTAATGCCTGTATCTTTTCCCCTAATGCTTTATTTAAGATGCAATCTCCTTTTTTAAGCTGTAGATTTCTCTAAGCCTCTCAATGGAATTGGCTGCAAAACCACCAGGTTCTCTCTGTTTCAAAGGAGATTTAAAATACTTGGTAGAACAAGGCCAGTCTTTTTGGTTGCTGGCCAGAAGTGAACTGACCCAATTTCTAAAACTGTCATCTGTTTGCTGAGGTGTTTTCAGTTAATGATGGTGTGTGTGTGTGTGTGTGTGTGTGTGAGAGAGAGAGAGAGAGAGAGAGAGAGAGAGAGAGATTAGGAGAGGTCTTTTATTTGTAGGCTTTGTACGTATTTTAATTCTGTAGTATCTTGAAATGAAGCCACTTGAAGCCCAGGGTCTACTGCCTATGACAGCATGACTAAGAAGAATTCTTTTACTTCTCTGAATCTGGTTTCCTGATTTAAAAAACTACCACTCAGATCAGTAACAGTACTCAGAGTATTCATAGAAAAATGCATTGTGCCGTTTTGAGCACTATACAGCTGTAAGATACTCTTAACAATATTTTTCAAAGATTTACAGTCCTGGACATTAAAAGGTTTTATTTTTTTTTAAAGGCAGTCTGCAATGATTATGAACACTGTGTTTAAGACTATATGTTAAGAGTCTACATCATCCTAGGCTCTGTGAGAACGAAGAAAAAAAATCATTCATAGTATTTAAGTACTTTCTATGTGACTAATATTTCCCTCGAAGAGTTTGTACGTTGACTCTGTTGTAGAACCAACATACATGAAAATAGTGTAAGAACACTTGGGGTGGTGGGGAACAGAGGGGAGAACCCATAATGACTTCTGTGCCAACTGTATCCCCAAGTTCTGAGGGAATGGGGACTGTGGCATGATTGGAGCTGGGTGGAATTTCCTTGGGGAAATTATGTTCAAGAATCCTTGTCTGTTTATTATTATCTTCTTGTGCCCACCTTTCCTGTGTTGATACCAGTGTGTACAATTTAATGGAATTGTGACATCAGGCATCTGTGCAAGGCATTTGGATAAGTTTCCCAGTAAAGTGCTGGGCTGTAGGCTTTAAGTGGATTGAATTACATACATTAAAAAGGAAACAGCATGTATAGAGTTCTACTTGGAAATAGAAATGTATTAGCATCTGCTTCTGAAATTCAAAGAATAGAAGTTACATGCGTAATTTTCTTTGTCATTATAAGATTGGTTCGAATTAGATACTGAATTTTCTTGACTTTGAAGCAGCAATCGATTACTCAGGCGTACAAGACATCGAGAGGTATTTGGATGTATTTGGGCTACAAAATCAGAATTCCAAAGAGAGAATTCCAGGGTCTCTCCATGCTGTACATCATTCTTAAAATATGTTATTGCTGTGACTCAATGTGGTATTTTCTTTGGAATCTATGTGTGTCAAATAGCCAGGGAGTGATCTGTAATTTCCTCTCCCTATCTTCTGATTTGTGCAAGGAATTTAATAATCTTATGTTCACAGAATAGTAATGTGTATGGGGTAGGAGTTTATCTTTTGAAAATATATATTACAAAGTCATTTTCTCGATGGTGAAAGATGTTAACATAGGGAATATAGCCTTGGACTTCTCTGCGTCCTCGATTCAGCCGACACGCCAGGACCTCTGGTCACTCTCCACCAGACAAAGGCTGAGTGCTAAGAACTAAAAGTGATTATGTTGAGCACAATTATGGCAACTTTTTTCTTTTCTTAGCGAACAGTTTCTGTATCATTATTATATATTATTATTAAAAAGAATATATATTTTAAAGCACTGCAGTTCCATTTAAACCTGTAATTCCAGTCTTTAGGGAAAGGTTCGGATATATAAATCCTTCCTAGATGCAACCAGAAAAAGTAGCACAGAAATAAGATGATTACAAGGAATCTTACAATGTTTGGCTCTCCTTTCCAATTCACCCACAAACGTTGTTCAGAAAAAAAGACTACAAATCTAATTAAGTGGTTACAGATATTTTCTTTCTTTATTTTTCCTTAATGGTTGACACATTAAGAGCTCTGGAGCTGTACAAATAACAATTTTACTCTAAAATGTCACTCAAGTGAATAAAAGAAAACCTCCCTAAATAACCCATCAGAGGGAATGTTGAGTCGTCTGGTTCATTTGGCTCATGGAAAACTGACCTCCTGAATTCCCTTCTGGTAGGAGCTCTACTGCCTGGAGAAGGTCCTATCTGGAAGGTCCTATCTGTTGAGCCTGGCATTGTGTAGTCAGTCTTCAGCAAATGCCCGTCTCTTCCTCATAGGCTGCAGGGGAGGCATTGAGATCTGGCACAAAGTAAGTACTACTCACATGGTAGATCCTTTCTCCTCCCAAGGAGGCTGAAGCCTGAGTGGGGAACTTTTACATAAGTGATGCCTCTGGGTTATTGATCCCTATGTCCTCAGTACCCTGCACTTCGTAAGGGCTAAAAAATAGTTATTGAAGGAAGGTTCTTGTTCTGATATGTTGATACCTGCTCTGAGTATATGATATCCAGCTTTTCCTTGGCCACTGGCATGTCTAGTGTCTGTGACCCCAAGACTTCTGATTTGAATCTCTAGACCTGTACTGTCCAGTAACATCGCCACTAACCACACATGGATCTTTACATTTAAATTTAATTAAAATCACATACAATTTAAAATTCACCTCTTAGTTGCACTAGCTACATCTCAAGGGATCAGTAGCCACACGTGGCTAGTAGTTACCATACTGGACCGTACAGGCAGGGAGCATTGCCATCATGGCAGAAAGTTCCACTGGATGCTGGACTGCTCTGGTTTTCCTGAAGCACCCTCTGATGGATTTCCTCTTTGTGTTTGCAGTGCAGCTGTCTGCTTCAGGAAGTGAAGTCTACAGTAACGAGGAGAATCTTTAAGAGCTGCCTCACACTGTGACATGTCTGAGCCCTTGCTCCAGTCCCTGCAGCATGAACAAGGTAAGAGCTACTTTTGGGAATCAGCTTTTGTGTCTTCTTTACAGTACCATGATTCTTCTGGGTACATAATGCCTTCCCACGATGTGAGGAGGCTGCTTCTCCTGCCACAAGCATTCCAGAGGTTGGAGAGTGGGGGGACACCAGCGAGCATTGTTCATAGGTGGGGTCGCAGGAGGTGGTGGCCGCACTGCAGTTGTAATAGCCTTCCAGATGTGTCATTGTATTTGTCAGAAGCTTCTGAGTGGCTGAAATATTGGTTGTTAGTATAATGGCCTTGGCATAAATATTGGAAGATTGAGTTCTGAAGCCAGACTACCCGGGTTTAAATAACAGCTCTTCTAGATGACTTTGGGCAAGTGGCTTAACCTCTCTTGTCCTCCGTTTCCTCTCCTGAAAAATGCTGATAAGAGTACCTTAACAGGGTTATTAAAAGGATGAACGTGAGTTCATATGTACACCAGTGCTTAATATAGTGCCTATCTACATTACAGGCATTTGATAAGTATTTGCTGCTGTTGTTTCTGATGTTGAGGACAATGTTGTCCCTTAGATGTCCTTGTAGGAGAGTCTTAAGTGCATCTGCAACTTTTCCACGTATTCCTTGAGTGACTGAGCAAGTAACAATTGATTACAGTTGGGCACTCAGGGATGAACAATGAATGAGTCTTAGGTTTTGCCTGCAGCAGGTGACAGGCTTGGGAGTAGTGTGGCTAGTGTTTTAATGAGATGCGTACCAGGAACTCTGCAAGTACAGAAGGAACAGCCAGCTTTGGGAGATATGGAAAGGACTGTAGAGGGGGTGACATTTTGAGTCAGATCTTGAATGATAAATGGCCATTTCTTAGACATAGAATAGGGCAGGGCATTCCAGGTAAAGGAAACAGGCTATGTTTAGGCACAAAGCATATGAGAAAGTCTGGTGTGTTTGGAGAAAAAAGAACTTGGTACAGCAGGATATCTCAACACTGTTAACATTTGAGCTGAGTAATTCTTTGTAGTGAGAGGCTGTCTTCCACTTTGAAGGATGTTCAGTAGCATCCCCTTTCCCCCACTTCAGTCCGGCCAACCAAAAACTTTCCCCAGCATTGGCCAGTGTCCCGTAGGGGAACAAAAATACCCGTGGCTGAGAACCACTGCACTGGGGGAAGATGGTAGATATGAGCCCAGAAAACGAGGTAAGGGTCCAATTCTAAGAGCCACTGAAGGATCTAATACAAGAGAAAGACATTGCCAGAGGCCTACAAGAAGAGGTAAATTATCCCCTTAGCGATGGATTGTGGTAGAATTAGACAGTGCTTTGAGACAGTGTGTCTTCAAAAGATATTATGGAATCCCTAGGCTTTAAGAAAACCCATTTAGTTTGTTGAAAGTCCTTTACTAAAACCCCCTTTCCAGTGGTGATTTTTTTCTCTTGGCCTGTTGTCTGGCTTTCTCATGCTCTCTGTTCACCCCACTGGAAGAGACCAGAAAATAATAAGAAATGGTTTTTGAGAGATTTTCATTTGGCCAAGAGAAGAAAACCTGTTCTGACTTCCACCATCACCACCACCACTGGCTTAAATACTTACCTTTAAGCAGTCTTTGAGAAGTGAGCTTTGGGAATACTGGAAAGTAGGCAGGTATTCCATGCCAAAGTCATGAATGGAGGGTGGGGAAGAGGAGGAGACTCATCACTGTGGTCGTTGCAAACCTTGGCGTCTATTAGTCAGGGTTTGGTGTACTGAAACGTGAAGACAACTCTTGGGAAGTCTGATTGGTGGACACAGTTTGCTATGATAGCCCTGCCTTAAGTTTCTACAGGGCAACTCAAGACCTGATGTCATGGTTTGGCTCTTGATATGCAGCTGGGAACCAGACTCCTCAGACATTTCAAGTGTCTCAGTAGGTGTGTCTGTTGCTTGGGAAGGTGTGTTCTGCCTAAATGTCCCAATGAATGCTTTATTTTATGTTATTTTAATTTAAAGTAGTGATTAAGCATGATGTGTAACCTTCATAGGTCAGCATTTTTCTTATGATTTTCTTGGCATAAGACAAAGAACACACCACCCTTTGGGGAGGAAATAGATCTCAGCTTAAATAAAACCAGACAATCATCTCATCAAGTAGGATATGTGAGTTAGAATGTTGGAAATATTTCTGTGGGTACGGTTGATTTTCCAAGTAGATCTGTTTCTAGAAAGCTGGAGAGTTTTGAATTGTGCACTTTCCACTTGCTTGGACATACAGTCTCGTAAATCTCCTTCCTTCCCAAACCCCAGCTAGCGTGCGGGACACTTGAACTGTGGAGATGTCAAGTTGGAGGGCGGCACAGTGTTCTAAGGTCCACTGTGATTCCTGTGAAGTGATGGGGCGATTGTGATTACAGTGAGCCATTGACATCTCTCTTTGGGGTTATTTAGCAATGATATCACTAGAAAACAACTGAAATGAGGCCCACGGCACAAGACACAGACCGTTTGACCAGTTTAACCAGGCTAACCTGATGGTGAACTGCTGTCCACCAAGTAGTGGCTTCTCTCCCCACATTCATGAACTTCTGTCTGTGGCAGAGTTTGGGGTCACACCAGAAAGGGGTACAGTTCCGGGCCTCAGACAGCTTGCCCACCAGTACATTCGTTTATACATAAGATTTCTACACAGCAGATACCCTCACATTTATTCACCTTTTTAATATTATAAACAGATTTGATTGGTTGTTCATTTGGGACTTATGTTCTAGCCTCACATGTTGAGGACACTGTGGGTGCAAAAGTTTCCCCAGGGTTCTCCTTCCCCTTGGCTCTCGTGCACACTTGGAGACCCATCTTTCCAGTTTCCATACTCTTCTCAGATCTTTTTGCAAGAGCTGACTTTCTAATCTTTATATTGATCCCAAACTTTATCATCAGGATTTCACTATAAATTTTGTCAAAAGTTTTTATCCTCTCTATTTTCTCAGGCATTCTCTTGTTAATAAAGATAGATGATATAATACACATTGTTGCTGGTAAGAAGGGTTAATGTTTTACATTTGTGTTATTTACCTATCATCAGGCTGTAAAGAAAGGATTTTAGTGTGTTACTTAAAAATCAGAGCCAAATGGGAGGCAAGTTGGACAGGATGGGATTTTGTAGAGACCACTGGGCAGGCTGATGAACGTTGCGTACCCAGAAGCCTGTAAGTTCACAGAGCCACGCTCACAGGACCCGTGTTCTGCTCTTGAAAGCTCTCTCTTCCTAGCAGCAACCTCAGAATTACAATTTTAAACTCTTTCCTTCGTGGTCATTATTTTCATGAAGGCATATCACTTGCTGTGGTCTGCCTTGAATTTATGAGGACGCCCCATCTGATTGAAAAATAATTGATTTTTCCGTGGTTTTACAGAACGCTCCCCTCCCCCCACAGTGAAAAGGAACCTTCTTGAGAATTGTTTCTTCCTTCTTATGTTCAAATACAGTCAGATCTGATTGCTGTTGCTTTGGACAAATGCCATCGCATCCAATGAAGTACAGCCCTGTGTCTTATCTCTCTTGGTGGGTGGATGCTACTGTTTTGCTTAATATCCACCCAGCAGAATTTTTTCTCTAAATATTTTACTGTGCCAGGTTTGAGGCAGTTTCACCTTGACACTCAGATCAATATCTCTATAGTCAACTAAAGAGTAAAACTGAAATTCAGTTTTTGCCTTCATTTAGAGTTTTTCTTACTTGGCTCCTCCTTACTATGAAGCAGTGAAGTTTGGAACTCATGACCCCCGGCTTTCCCCCCAGCATAGACATGACTCTATTTGATTAAACGTCACCTCCTCTAACACACACGTACCAAGGGTGTACTGGGTCCCACGCACTGTGCTTATAGGACACCAGTGAACAAAATAAAGGTCTTTGCCATCCAGAGCTTCTATTCTGGCCAGGGTAAGGAGAGTCAGCTTATTTCAGAGGTTTAATACATTCACCTAGGGGCGCCTGGGTGGCTCAGTGGGTTAAAGCCTCTGCCTTCCGCTCAGGTCATGATCCCAGGGTCCTGGGATCGAGCCCCACATAAGGTGCCCTGCTCAGTGAGGAGTCTGCTTCTCCCTCTGCCTGTCCCGTGGACCCCAACCCCACCTCATGCTTGTGCGCGTGTGCTCTCTCTCTCTCTCAAAAAATAAAATCTTAAAAAAAAAAATGGTCCCATCCTCATACCTGACCCTAGTCAGCCCCGCATCGGGCTCTCCGCTCAGCAGGGAGCCTGCTTCCTTCTCTCTCTGCCTGCCTCTCTGCCTACTTGTGATCTCTGTCTGTCAAATAAATAAAATTAAATTAAAAAAAGAAAAAGAAAAAAAAATCTTTAAACATACACCTAACATGAAAATGTACTCAGTCAAGGTAGGAAAGAGATTATCAGGCTCTTTCAGACACAGTGAAAGAATACATTTCTCAAGGGAATTTAAACAATGTGTATCAAAGTCTCAAAAATACACATACCTGTTGACTTAGAAATTCCATTTCTACAACAGTTACTCAAAAGGAGTTGCCATGGATGTGTACAAAAATTGAGGCAATGTGTTCATCGTATATTACAATAATAGTAATTTTTGGAAGGTAATAATTGTGGTATACAGCCATACAATAAAAATACCAGGGAGGGATGAAGGGATATTTAGTGACATAAAAAGATGTTTTAAATGAGTTGTAGAGAAGGCAAGTTACAGAACAGTATGTATAGCTGGATCATTATTTCCCTTTTCAAAAGATATACATGACTACACATACACATCAAAATGTTAAAAGCATTATCTTCTTTTTGCTTGTATGTTCTAAATTTCTTAACCAATGTACATTCTTTCATACTAAAAATAATATATAAAAAATACATTAGGTTATTTTTAAGATACTACCTTCACGACAGTTTTGGATATCCATGATAGGATGTTGTCCAGAACATTAGCAGTGGTTTTCTCAGAGGGTGGGTACATGGTATTTCTTTCTTTCTTTTTCTTTCTTCCTTCCTTCCTTCCTTTCTTTCTTTTTTTTTAAAG